AGTAGCGTTTTATTATCTCCTTCTAACTTATACTAGATTTAAAGTGTCTACTATCTTGAAAGCTTGTAGCCTATATAGGCGTAACCCTGTTTATAGCTGTTAGGAAGTCCTTTGTTATTATATTTAATTATAATAATTTAGCAACTTTGTACGTCTCTGCTTCTATAGCTACCTAGTCATACTTAGCTAGCTAGGTATCCTATTGTGACGTGCTTCTTATTAGCTTAAGTGCTAAGAGGTATCTATCTTAGGCTTATTCTTATTTAATTTATTTATTAACCCTAATAGTAAGTTGTAGGTCTATAATCTACTATTGCAGTAGTTTCTTAGGAAGACAGCATATGCGCAGTAGATATAGCAATATAGTTAACTAGATAAACACAATAATATACTAAAGGCTTGCTTCCTCCTTCTTATATTTGTGTTAATTATTCTTATATTATTTAAGGAGTACTTTGTAATACTTAAGGTCTTCCTTAAATACCTTCTAGCCTATTACTAATAGCTTAGTTAGCCTTAATAGTATATTAGTATTTGCAGCTAGCACATAGTTAGTAATAGTTAGAGCCCTTAGCAAGAGTAGCTTTAATAGTAGTAGTGTAGTTGTCTTTAGGTTAATCTTGTCCTAGATGTTGCGTGACAGGCATCTTGCCTGTAGCTGCGTAAGCTAGCTAGTCTAGTTAGCTTAGTCCCTAAGGACTGTTATTAGGTTATAGTACGTTAGTTGCGCTATTTTAGTTGTAGCAGTAAGGTTATAGTAGTTTAGTTGTAGTAGTAAGACTCTTAATTGTTAGATGCTTGTACTGTGAGCTAGAGTATGTGCTTAACAAGATCTTAGGTGGTATGATGATTTATTAATGATCGTCGCAATGGTGTTTTTCTCGCCGTGGCGTCGTGCTGGTTGCTACAGGATTGAAGTGGGGGGAATTAGCGCTGTTCGCGGCCGCCGGTGTGCGGGCCAATCAGGAGTTGCCAGGTCTCGCTTAATCGACCTAGCAACTGCTGATTGGCTGCACGACAGGTCCCTGCTCGATTGCGCAGATCCGACCTCTCGCCGCTCGCTCTTATCTAACAATAATAAATTAAAAGAGTAAGAGGTAATGTAGATAATTAGCTACGTACAGAGCAAGTACACCTGCATAGGAGGGCACAACCTATAGTGGTTCCTTAGCATAGAGATTATACAAGACTAAGCAAGCAAGAAAATCTACCTATCTTAGGCAGCGTACTTAGACAAAATTAGTTGCCTTGCTAAGAACACAACTATACAACATAACACTCTAATAGTAATAACTAAACTACAGCTAAGGAGTGGACTAGCAGCGCTAGCAGAAATTAACAAGTATCAACGCAAAATTGGATCACTGCTGTTTGCTGCGGTCACCACGCGACCTGACATTGCGTTCGCTACATCAAGGCTTGCCAGGTTCCTCACCAATCCAGGCATTAGCCACTAAGATGCTGCGGACTAGGTCCTTCTATATCTACTCAACACTAAACAGTAATCACTGCAGCTTAGAGGAGGCATTAGCCTCTAGGTAGCAAGTAACGCGTCCTTCGCTGACAACACTATAGACAGAAAGAGCTCCTAAGGCTACGCAATTAAACTCTTTAGCAGCCTTATTGCATAGAAAGCAAACAAGCAGGACACAGTAATAATATTAATAACTAAGGCTACGCTTCTTACTCTTACCTAGGTTGTAAAAGAAGCACTCTTTATCTTACAGCTCTTATGCAAACTACACATTAATATATACACACACACTATCACAATATAATATAACAACAAATAAACAATTTAACTAGTTACTAAGGAAGTGTTGTAACTATATACTAAACTTTAGTATATAGATATCTACAACTCCTAGCTCTAACAGGAGGTGGCCACTAGAAAGATTATTATAGAACACGTCTAGTCTGTAAGCATAATAGCAGACAGACTTACAAAGGTACTCCTAGTAAACAAGTAGGAAGGTTTCCTCTAGTAACTTAGTCTAGTGAACAGGGAGTTAATAGAAGTGCTAAATAGCGTGCCTCTAGACAGGATTTAAGAATAAATTAAGAACCTTATATGTGCATAAATAGTTAGCTTAAAGAGTTTCTAAGCTAAAGGGGGTGTGTTAGATAAGAGCGAGCGGTAAGAGGTTAGATCTGCGCAATTGAGCAGGGACCTGTTGTGCAGCCAATCAGCAGTTGCCAGGTCGATTAAGCGAGACCTGGCAACTCCTGATTGGCCCGCACACCGGCGGCCGCGAACAGCGCTAATTCCCCCCCACTTCAATCCTGTAGCAACCAGCACGACGCGACGGCAAAAACACCATCGACACGATCATCAATATATCATTATACCACCTAAGATCTCGTTAAGCACATACTCTGGCTCACAGTACGAGAATCTGACAGGAATATTAAGCTTAAAACCTTCTACACTTAATAACTATTCTATTCATAGGCCTATAATATTATTTAATAGTGTATTTTAAAGAGGAGACTTAGTAGTATATTAATATAATAAAAGTATAGTTTATTAAGCAGAGCTACTATTATAGCAAGATTAGGAGTTGTTGTAGCTATTATAGCTATTAGGACTGTTAGAGCTATTAGCTTAAAATTAGCTAGACATTAAATACACATTAAATAACTGTTATAGGCCTACAAGTCCTCCTGTTCCCTATAGTATAATGCCACAATTTCCTAATTTTAACAATGGAAAAACTTTTCCTGATGTACTAGCCTTTAGGAATAACGTGGTTTATCACCAAGCCGCTAGGTATCACCAAACTGCTACCCCTTACCAACTTTTTTAGAGTCACTAACTATTACATAACTATTATGCTTAACTACAACACTATACTAATACTTATAATTGCTATAATTACTCTTTAGAAGTAGCGCTATTATCTACATCTAATATTTCTGCAGTACAGGTGCGTAAATTGTGGCTAGTCTTGCTACAACGTCTGTAGTGCCTCTCTTTACGCACCTTCTTCCTAGACTGTTTAGATGCCTTACTACTACTACTATCCTTCTTAGCTATTATATCCTGTACCTTACTAACTATAAGAGCCTCCTCTGTCTAGATATACTTTCTTTTACAACTACACTACGCTGTTAGAGCCTTAATAGCCTTCTTTATACTATCTATTTCCCTTCTCTACAATATATTAGCATAGTCTATCTACACAACCCCTCTAGCAAGCAAGTTAAGTAATTTTATAATAGGAGATAGGGGCAAATCTCTGTGTAATTGCATGCGCTTACAGATATACAACATTTAAAACTTAACCTCCTTTACGCTAGTTAGTGTTTTAGATTCCTATAGGGTAGTCTCTAGTAGTGGTAATGTTAGCGTGTAAAGGACCACATCAAGCTTTAATAGCACTTGCTCTAGGTTAAAAGGAACTAGTCCTGCGCCTCTAAAGCCTCTGTAGATATTGTCTTTTGTAATAGCCTTGTAATAGGCTATCTAGAAGCTAGTAAGGAAGAACTCTTTCTTAATTTATATCTTTAAGTATTATAACTAGGTATTAACCTTAATTAAGTACGCCCTCTTTAAGGGGCTAAAATAGGCTATATTAAGCAGCTATAATAGGTACAACAAGTATAGGGGTATACACAAGGTAATAATCCTATATTCTATGTAGTATTCCTTAAACTCTACAGAGTTGTAGCTCTTATAGCTATTAATAATAAGTAGATAGTAGGTGCTAATAGTACACTCTTTTGTAGACGCGTTAAAGTGCTTTAACTACTCTAGACTAAGCTTATTTATTATCTAGCTATTCTTACTAGTTATAATTACCTAATTATAAGGCAGATTAGGGTACTAGGTTGTAATTAGGACCTTGCCTTAGAAGATAATAAAGGGTAGGATAGCCTAGCTAGCAGCATAGACACTAATAATAATTATAACCTACTCCTAATTACTAGGCTAGATATTCTTAGGGTTAGATTGCTTCTCTAAGCCTGTAAACACTATCTTAGACCTAATTATGCCTATTATAAACCTAGTCTTATTAAAGTTATAGGTATCTCTATCTAGGATTCTGTACTTCTCCTTTGTATTCCTAACTAGCTTAAACTAGGGTGTTATAACATGTGTATCTTTATTTAGGGCTTGTTAATAATTATACAGTTAGCTATATTAAAGCTTAATTTATTAGGTATATGTGTTAAACCTATTTCCCTAGAGCTTGCTAATAGGTCCTTCACCACGTGCAGCAAGCAGATTATTAGCTATATCTTGCACTATAGTCTTTGTTGCGCCTATTCCTTGCCTGTCTAGCTTAAGTATATAGTTAACTATTGCCTCCTCTTCTACCTTTATTAGCTTCTTTAAATTAGCCTTACAAATTAACAATTGCGTTGTGTAAGCCCTCCTACATGTTAGTCTCTTAATATTAATTAGGGAACACTAAAGGCCTTAGACGCATAATTTATACTATTAGGCATAGTAGCTTTTATAGCTTAGATAGCAAGGTATAGTGTACCTTTGTTATAGGGTGATTGCGCGTTGTGTTGTGATGGCATTGTAATAATTATTGTAACAGTCGCAAAATTGGCGAGGGGTGGCGGTTCAGTGATACCTGGCGGCTTGGTGATAAACCACGTTATATTCCTTAATATATTTATAAAGGTTAACTACTAAAAGACCTTTAAGGCATTAGGGCCTATTCCTACTAATATGCAGGTAGTGTTATATTGCCTTAAAGTAAAGCTGCATACCCTACTAGCAGTACCTCTACCTAAAACGCTGTAGCAATCTAAGACGCTAAGCAATACACACAAGTTTAGGTCTTAATCTAAGCTTATAAGCAACTCCTTCTAATAATTACTAAGTGTAGCATAAGAGGGGTTCTTAAAGCTTGTAAAAGGGGCTAAAAAGATACTACATAAAAACATCCTTATTAAGGCCCACGTGTGAGAGCTTAAAGACTAATTAGTAGTAATAACTAAGAGAAAATCGCGTAATAGAAAGCAGATTTAGCATAGTGGCACACTTAAGTATAGCCTAGCAGCATCATGGGTAGCTGCTAAGTTGTGTGTAGCAGCTTAGCCATCTAAGAAGACTTAGGGTAGAGGTAGTTCACTAGGAGCTTAGTCAACTGTTTAGCGCTGTAGGAACTGCAGCAAGACTAGACACAACACACAAACGTGCTAGGAGTGTATAGAATTATCTTCTAAATCTAATGCAAGCACGCAGTATGCTAGGTCACTATTTAATAGTAAGTAGTTGTAGTTGTAGTAACTTGTGTTAGTTGTGCTAAGAGAAAATGGCTGGTTTAGTGATATGGCTGGTTTAGTGATATGGCTGGCTTGGTAATAATCTACGTTAATAGTATGTGTAGTTTGTGTAATAGCCTTAAGATAAAGAGTGTTTCTTTTGCAACCTAGGTAAGAGTAAGAAGCTTAGCCTTAGTTATTAGTATTATTACTGTGTCCTACTTGTTTACTTTCTATACAATAAGGCTGCTATAGAGTTTAATTGCGTAGCCTTAGGAGCTCTTTCTATCTATAGTGTTGTTAGCAAAGGACGCGTTACTTGCTACCTAGAGGCAAATGCCTCCTCTAAGCTGTAGTAGTTGCTGTTTAGTGTTAAGTAGATATAGAAGGACCTAGTCTGCAGCATCTTAGTAGCTAATGCCTAGATTGGTGAGGAACCTAGCAAGCCTTAATGTGGCCAACGCAATGTCAGGTCGCGTGGTGACTGCAGCAAACAGCAGTAATCTAATTTTGCATTAATACTTATTAATTTCTGCTAGCGCTGCTAGTCTACTCCTTAGCTGTAGTTTAGTTGTTGCTATTAGAGTGTTATGTTGTACAGTTGTGTTCTTAGCAAGGGAACTAATTTTGTCTAAGTACACTGCCTAAGATAGGTAGATTTTCTTACTTGCTTAGTCTTATATAATCTCTATACTAAGGAACTACTATAGGTTATACCCTCCTGTGCAGGTGTACTTACTCTATATATTGCTAATTATCTACATTGCCTCTTACTCTTTTAATTTATTGTATGTAAGGATAATATTATTAATATAAAAGAAGATAATTGTCAGATAAGAGCGAGCGGCGAGAGGTCAGATCTGCGCAATCGAGCAGGGACCTGTCGCGCAGCCAATCAGCAGTTGCCAGGTCGATTAAGCGAGACCTGGCAACTCCTGATTGGCCCGCACACAGGCGGCCGCGAACAGCGCTAATTCCCCCTCCACTTCAATCCTGTAGCAATTAGCACGACGCGCACTGCAGACACCATCGCCACAATCATTAATAAATTATTATACCACCTAAGATCTTGTTAAGCACATACTCTAGCTCATAGTACAAGCATCTAACAATTAAGTGTCTTACTACTATAACTAAACTACTACAACTAAACTACTACAACTAAAATAGTATAACTAACATACCATGACCTAACAATAGTCCTTAGGGACTAAGCTAACTAGACTAGCTAGCTTGCGTAGCTATAGGTAAGATGCCTGTTGCGTAATATCTAGGATAAGATTAACCTAAAGACAACTATACTACTACTATTAAAGCTACTCTTGCTAAGGGCTCTAACTATTACTAACTAAGCGCTAGCTACAAACACTATTATACTATTAAGGCTAACTAAGCTATTAATAATAGGCTAGAAGGTATTTAAGGAAGACCTTAAGTACTATAAAGTACTCCTTAAATAATATAAGAATAATTAACATAGATATAAGAAGAAGGAAGCAAGCCTTAAGTATATTATTATATTTATCTAGTTAACTTTATTACTATATTAACTATGCACATGCTGTCTTCCTAAGAAACTACTGTAATAGTAGATTACAGACCTATAACTTACTATTAGGGTTAATAAATAAATTAAACAAGAACAAGCTAAAGATAAATACCTCTTAGCACTTAAGCTAATAAGTGTAGTAGTCTGGCCAAAGGCCAATAAAGGATATCTACTTCCTAACAACTTTTGCTAAAAAGCATGCACAAGTTAACTAGACGTCTAGTTAACTGCGTAGATAATATATATCTAGCTTAAGCCAAGCCGGCTAAGCTAACGTAACCGGCTAGCTCTAGCTCTTCTTTAGCTTTAGAGTCTAGACCGTTACAATAAGAAGCATATTATAATAGGATACCTAGCTAGCTAAGTATAACTAGGCAGCTACAGAAGCAGAGACGTATAAAGTTGCTAAATTATTATAATTAAATATAATAACAAAGGACTTCCTAATAGCTATAAACAGGGTCATGCCTATCTAGGCTACAAGCTTTTAAGATAGCAGACACTTTAAATCTAGTATAAGTTAGAAGGAGATAATAAAATACTACTAAGAGTATATAATAATAAATTATCCTCTTAAATTAGGGTAGCATAAGGCCTTTGTAGCTAATAATATAGTATTTCTTGCTAAAGGGGGTGCAGCCTCCTAGAGCTATAAAGGGGACGCCTAACATACTATAAGCACACTATCTAACTAGGGCAGACCTTAATATTAATATATAGTAGGTAGGAAAACTACTACACTTAAGTGGCCTTTAAATTAAGAGCCTACTTCTACTAGGGGAGCAAAATACCCTATATATAGACAATGCCACTCTATATAGGATTACTACTATGTTAATTAAGACAGAGCTCCTAAGTAGTAGAAACTAAATAAGATTATTTGTAAACTTATTAAGTTTAAGTGTAAGAAATATATTACCTTTTAAGGGATACTTTATAACATAAACCCCAAGCACCCAGCACCTAGGCTATTTCTTGCCAAGACCACAACTATTAATATTAACACGTAATACCTTACTAACAAGATAAATAATTATCTAAATAAGAGGGTAGAATTAATCTTACTCTTTCTACTTTCTAATTATATAAATTTAAATGCCTCTAAAGTGCTACTTAGGTATTTTATATACTGCATACAACCTTAAGTGCTAGGTATAGAGGCAGACTCTATATTAACAATAGACATAACACACAATATAAGCTTATACGCACTAAAGAGCAAATAATTGTACAATACATTCTTAACCTTAATTCGCAAGGATTCGCGCCCTAGCTGTGCGAGGTGGCAGATATGGCTGACAAACTGTTAGGTGTACGCGGTGGGCAGCCTGTTAGCAAGCACTAGGCTGAGCGCTTCGTAACGCGTTCAGCTAAGCTTAAGATGGCCTTTAATTAAGCTAAAGATAGGCAGAGGATGCTGTAGGAGGATCTAGAGACAATTAGCGCGTAGTTTAAGCTAGTAGAGGACACAAAAGCTAAATACAGCATATATAACTATAATATACACAACTTTAACAAGACTAGCTTCTAGATAGGTGTTATTAGCTTAATAAAGGTTGTTACAGGTGCAGAGAGACGTAATTAACCTTAGCTTGTTTAGCTAGGTAATTGCAAGTAGGTAACAGTTATCTAGAGCGTCTGCGCTGCTAGATCTTGTACCCTGCCTTTTATTATCTACAAAGGACGCGTTCACATCTCTGCCTAGTACGAGGAGGCAGATATACCACGCAATTGGAAGCTCTCTGTCTCCAAGAGCGGCTGGACGAACAACGCGCTCGGCCTTGAGTGGCTGAAGCACTTCGACGCGCATACAAAGGCGAGCCAGGTAGGGGCGTACAGGCTGCTTATTTTAGACAGCTATAAGAGCCACCTTAACTAGGATTTTAAGGACTACTACCTTAAAAATATAATCCTTACCCTCTGCATGCTACCTTACTTATTACACATCCTCTAGCTACTTAATATAGTCTACTTCTTACTATTAAAGCGTAAGTACTCTTAGTGTGTACAAGACTTAGCATGTAAGCGTGTCTTCTATATTAATAAAGAAAGCTTTCTCCCTACCTTTAAGGATGTATTTTTTAATATATTTATAGCAGAGAACTATTACAAGGCCTTTAAGGTAGCAGGGCTAGTCCCTCTTAACACGTAGGTTGTGTTAGATTAACTTAAAGTGCGCCTATGTACCCTGCTAGAACCCCTCCTCCTAGAGACGCTGTAGTAGTTAAAGACTCTAAGCAATACCTATAAGTTTAGATCTTAGTTAAAGCTTGTACATAAGTCTTTTACTTAGTTGCCTATTACTGTGCAAGCAGGCTTCTCTTAGCTTGTTAGAGGCAGTAAGCTTATACTGCATCAGAACGCGCTTTAAGCAGCCTAGATTACTAAGCTTAAAGAGCAATTAGTAGTAATAACTAAGCAGAAATTGCGCAAAAGGAAGCAGATCTAGCAAGGTAGTACTATAGAGTATGGTAAGGCAGCAGCTTAGGTGGCTGCAGAGGCCTCTGTAGCCGCTAAGCAGTCAAAGAAGGCTTGTGGTAGTAGTGATTAAGAACAAGCTTAACCAGCTCTACAGCGCTGTAGAAACTGTAGAGGGACTAGACATAACGCGCGAACGTGTAAAAAAGATATAGATGCATATTCTGAATTAGATACAAGCACAGTGTACACAGGCTCTATATTAAATAGCGATGAAATTGAAGAGTTGTAACGTGAGTTGGTACTGCCAAGCTTTTTTGGCCCGGGTGCTGGGTTGGCCTGGGTGCTGGGGGTTTACGTTACCTAAAGTAAGAGCTAATTAAGAACACTAGTAGTAAAGCACTTACACACCCCTACCCTAGAAATCCTAGACAATTAACTAGAAGGCTAAGAAATTACTAATATTAAAGTAGCACTTAGCACAGTAAACAAACAGGATTATGCTAACTATCTACTATAGAAGTTATTTATATTTAACTTAGGTTCTACCTGTTATATTACTAATAACCCTAACTGCGTCTTTAGGTTCTAACAGCTATTGCCTAGAGACTTTATATAGGCTAGGAATTCTAAGGTACTAGTTAGAGGATATAGGTTAATTAATCTACTCCTAAGAAGTAGAGCTAGGACAACTAAGGTTACCCTTACAGATGCGGCAATTTGCCTAGACCTACTATGCAACCTAGTGTCCTTCTACCTACTATAAAACAGAGGCATATAGTAGGAAATATAAGCAGACCTAACAACTCTCTAATAAGCTAATAGCTAAGTAATTAGAGTAGTATTAGAAATACTTAGCTAGTAGGTGCTTAAGTATAAACTGTCTCTACTAGCTACTAACTACACATATAAAATTACTACACGCACTAAGAGAGGACTATAGAAGGCCTTAGTTGTAAAGTTATGAGACTTTGTTCTTATAATCTTTCGCTAGCGTATTTCCTTCTTAGGTATAGCGCCATGCTTACCTAAGCATTGCTATTGCAATCTCCCAGAAGAGAGGATTAGAATGGTGTGCTTACGAAGCCTGTTTCTCCTCTTGTTCTTAAGATATGCTGTTCTCTATTTATAGTAACTAGAAATGTTACAGACCCTCTGCTTACAAATAGAGTAGCCTACTTTGTAGATGCTAACATATACAATTACGCATGCACCTACGTAATCCTGCTTACATATGCAGCAATACTAAGCATAGATTACTAAGTAGACCTACCTAGAGGAGTCTAGAACGTTCTGCTTAGAAATACAGACAGAGGAGAGGAAGTATAAATACCTCTGGCTCTCCCCCCTCTGTTTGCTCTGTACCTAGCCTAGGAATCTTTCCCTAGTATCTAATATAATAACTTTTCTATTATATTACATAACCCTACCTTACCTCTATTAGGCTATACGCTTCCTATTTAGACAAAGCTAGTCTAGATTTGTCTAGGTCCTTCTAGACTAGGAAGAAAGTAGTCTAGTCCTTCCCCTACTTTCTTTACACTTATCTATTAATTACTAGCTAAGGCATTGTCTTAGTAGTCCTAAATTACTTAGATACCCCTCTTTTACATGCTTGGCGATCTTAATCTGGCGTGTTGCTGATTATTAGGCTTAGTCTGTGGGCCCTTGCCTTGCTTGGTGAACTCGGCTGAGATCTTTAAGTAATGTCTCTGTACAGATCTAGCCCTGTTAACCTTTCCTCAGTAACCTAATATCTGACAAGAGTTAATTGCTAAGAGTTAAGCAATTTACTTAAGGCAGGTGCTATAAGATTAGCTAATACTGTTTTGTTAATCTAGTTCTAGATATTGCTTAGCTTGGCGACATTGGGTGTCCATTTGGATGTGGCCACCTTGTACTTCTGCACTGCCTTAGGGTGATCTCATACTGCTTAATTGTAGTACTCCTGCGTTATATGTCAGGTATAATTGCCTAAGTTATCTAGGTTGTTAATCTATAAGGGAGTACCTTCTTGCATAGGCTTAGGTAGAAGTTCTAGGTATTCTAGTTCCTGCTTATTAATTAGTGGTACAGTTTCTGCCTCTAGATTAATTTAATCCTAGATTGCTGTATTGCGAGCGTGAAGCTCTAGCCAAGCAAACCAATACAGTCAATCTGAGTAGTTGCTTAGCAGGATTTAGCTAGAAGCCACAGTGTTGTTTTTAGAATCTATTTTAGAGGATTTTCGAGAAAAGATTGTAGAGAAGATAATCTTAGATCAGATGCACTTAGCTTATTTAGAGTACGCAGGGAATATCAACGCTGAGCAGTCTCTAATTGTTAATTAAGTGAGAAGAAAGTGAACAAGTTCCTTGTTCAATCTACAGTGCTGAATAAGCAGAATATATACACCAATACTCATCCAGCTATACCCTAATTGGAGCCCTAATCACGGCTCCAAGCTGTATCCAATTCCGCTCACCATGGCGTGATAGATCGCCAGTGTCTGGTCGGTCCAATATCCAGATGCGGATCATGTGATATGCACGCTCACCTCGATCCTTGCTGCGACGACTTGACACTCAGATAGGTATAAAGGGACGTTTGCATGTCTACGAGCACATGAATAACAGCATAGAGGGACTGGCGGGCCAAGTGTTTGCCGGGGACATTGGCTCACGTTGTCCATTGTGAAGAGGCAAATATGGGCCCGTACTTGCACAGAGAGTGGAAATCTCCCATTTGCTTCAGCGATCATTACGACCAGCCATTTCGTATCCCGCATCCCGTTCTACAAAGCGATCGAGTCACAAAGGGTCTGCAAAGATCAGACGCTGCTCAGCGAACACATATGCAAGCATCTGAACTCCGCCGATGAAGCTGTCCGCTTGGAAGCAAAAAGAAAACGCGCCGTGCTGATCCAGGGTTTATCGCGCATAGTCCTGAGGCTATCAATATTGCCGCCCGCTGCAGGTGCTGTGCCGCTGAGTACACCTTGCTTCGCCGCGAGGGAGGAAGCAGCTTAGTCCTTAACGTGCAGCAAACAATTTGCGGTGTACAAAGAGGGGGAAAACCCTGCAAAGATGCGCTCTTACATCTGGGGAACTACGGTGAGTTGCACGGTGAGGACTGTGGCACATGGCGTTGATCCCAATAAGATCCGCTCTCGCCATATTGCGGTATACAGGCTTTCTGACGTTGTAGTAGAAGAGGAATAAATCTTGCAACTGGATGGGAAGCAAAGAAAAGGACAGTCATTTAGAGGCATTAAAATGACGATGTTAGCAAGATGGTATACCGTCTTGACTAGGTCCTGGGTAGAGCTAACGTGATATTACGACGTGATTACGATAATACTAGCTAATCCGTTGTAGCATCTCCGCGAGCCAGCATCAAATGATACGTACAAAATTATCCTGTGGCGGAGCGAGACACTTCCCTGGTAAGAAGCCCGTTCCTACGCGCTCGTACAGTGTCACACCGTCTTTCTCTCCCCTAGGTGTGATAACAAGAACGCAGTGCTTTCGTTCGGTCTCAGCTTGGGAACCCTTCGCAACTCCAAGCACAACGCAGAGCGAACTTAGCAGCAGAATATTACTCGGCTCATCGAACACAAGTTCGATATCCCGATCTTTGGCAGCTCCAGTGTCAAATCTTCTTGGCGCGGCGAACAACGCGATTTTTGCAGTTTCGGCATCGACGTTGATCCATCTGTTCTCTAGTTTTGTCCAAGGTGACTGTATGTTGTTCCATTCGTATTGACCAAACTCGAGATATATGTAATCAACTGCTCCAGAATAAGCCATCCACGACCAAGAAGGTATCTTGAGGTTACCCGGGCTTGCTGAGAAGTCGATGCGCTTCATGGCCTCTGAGTCTGAATGGCGTCGCCAGAGGAGGGTCCGACGCAAAAGACCGCGAGTCTCGCCTTCGTCGAGGATCCCGAAATCTCCGTATACCCTCATTGTCCTCAAGAGTCGTTGTTGTAGACCGGCAATGGCAACAGGGCGGTCGTATGGCTTTGAAAGACCTAGCTTCGAATATTGTTTGTAAAGACCTTGGATTCGAGTAATCCTGTCGCCTTGTGAAGATCTATAGAGCAGATCAGGGAATTCGGCATCTCCTAATAGTGCTGCGACCAGACTGAGCCTTGTTAGTTTTCATCTCAATGAATATCATCATTCGCGGACCGCTTACTTTTCCAGTCTCGTCGACGTCTCGCAACGAACACCACCGCCGCACTCAAAGTATGTCTGATACTCGGTGAAGAACAGAGTACGACGAGCCAGAGCATGCTCTTGTAGTACCCATCCACGACCACTCAGGTCGCCGTCGAGTACATGAGACTTAAAGTCATCAATTGTCTCGCAGATGTAGAAGGGCATCTCGTTCTTGCCTTCCTTTGTCAAACGAACATACTTTCTGGCTTTACGAGGCTTCAGAAATCCGTCATAGTGGTCTGCTGCACAGCTTGCTGCAAGCACACAGTAAGCGCCACTGTAGACATCTTCCATGCGCTTCGCTTCAGATTCAAAGTCTCCATCTGGGCCTTGGATCACGCACAGAGAATCGATCCAGAGGTACTGATGACCCAAAGCTCTGGTCACCGTCACTGCATCCTTGAAGGTCGCGGGTAAACTGGCATAGTTCAACCCCTCCAGATGCTGCTCACGGTTCGCTGTAGTTGTGGAGAAATGACTGTCACCCCACTTATGTGAAAGGGCGATCCATTCCCCGGCATCGCCAGGTCTGGTTTCCCAGAGTTGTATGGTGGCATCTCCTTGTTTGCCAACCTTGATGAGTCTCGTTGGCAGGCGCATTATCGAAGTACTGCTGCCACCGCTTGCGCGACCAGACGGCTTGCAGGTGTGCTTCGCGTCGTGGTCACAATCGTGGAGCCATGACTTCATCACTTCGAGATGAGTCTCTCCGCCGGCAACGGGAAGGTCCACGAATCCAATCTGGTAGTCACCAGAGACAGGAACATTAACGTCTGGGCTACAAACAACGGAAAGCACGCAGTTGGGTGTGTGACTCATCTTGAGGAAAGCTCCCTCACGATCGAATCGGACACTCTGTTGCCGTTGCCCTTCATGGGCCTGACATATGTGCCACAGCAAGGAGCACATGTGACATTGTCCTGTCTCGGCGCTGGTTTGTATTCTACTGACGTCATAAGTCATGGAGAATCCCGGGCCGAACTGCGTTCGAAATTTGCTGCACCAGTCACACAGCATCGCTGTGTCCGGAGCTGGGTGAGTGTCTAGTCTTTGCTGACACCTCAAATCAGTGAAAAGTCTTGACGCTACTTCGTTGTCCAGTCGCAACACCCAATCCTTCTCGTCAAGCTCAGAGGGAGCATAATCTTTCTGCCAAGGTCATCAGTTCTGCTGTAAGCGAGAGCACGGGTGCACGTACCTCAGCATCGCCGCTGGTGCCGACTTCAGAGCTGATTGGGTCATTCAATAGCAAAGGCGTACGATCTCGCTCAGGATGTGTTTCCCAAAAACCAATAACATCGTCTTCGGTATGAATGCCGTCCATGGCTTCGTAAAAGTCAGATGCTAAGCATCTTGAGTGTCCAGGAAGCTCGGGTTCTGGCTGAACAGGCTCTCGGGTATGGTTTTTGTCCAGATCTGACGTTGGCTCCGGTTCTGTGATCGTGAATGTTGGCAGCCCATTCAAAGCCGATGGCTCTGAGAGGTGCGCGTTTTCCAAAGCTTGATTGAGATCTGAACGGAGGTCTTGAGGAACTTTGGGCTCGAGAAACGAGTCTGTGCGCGATTGATCTGTGTCCTCTGGAGAAGGTCGAAACGATCCCATACGTCGCGGCAGCTTGACCACCAGTAGATTGTTTCTGACAAATTCTAGAAGCTGGCCCATAGCGGTGTTGATTTCACATGCAGGCTCTTGCGCCATGTAATCCATCCATCGAGTGGCTGCACTGTGCACCTGCGCTATCGTCTTCGTGTTCTCTTTCTTAATCTGATAGAAGGTTTCGCTTACGTTTTGCCTGAACATGTGATAGCCTTCCACACCATACAGCAGCCAGATCATAAGCTCAAGGATGATGCAGCCCATTGCCCAGATATCGTATAGTCGAGAGCGGCGCTTCACGGGTTGGCCAAGGTACTTCCGTGTGACTCCAGTGACAACCTCTGGGGCCTCGTAGCGGCGGGTGCCAAATCTTGCTGTTGTCTTTTGAGAACGAAGCTCAGTAGGTTGGTCCTTTCCGTAATATTTGGCTTCGCCCCAGTCGCCAATTTTGAACGTTCCGATCGGTTGACGATCTTCTTCAGCGACTGTTCTTTCACGTTCGTTGCCAGCGACTGTAGGTTCCTCGTCGAAGATGAGAATATTCTCCGGTTTCAAATCCCCGTGACGATATGAAGCCTCAGTCTGGTTCAGATTATGGGCAGCAGCAAGTGCGGAGGCTAAGCCGAGAATCTGTTTGACGACGCTCTTAACGAGGGTGCCGGTCAAGTTCGGAGAGGGTATGCGGTCCCAAAGATCGCGCAGGTTTCCGCCGTTGGCCCATTCGAACATCAAGTAGTGCTCTTCGCCGTCGTTTCTCTTCTTCCTCCGGAAGGCAGTGATGAAACGCACAATGTGGGCTTGGTTGAGCTTGTTCATCATGCGCAGTGCCTTCACCTCCTTCTCCCAGTGCTCGGCTCTTTCTTGCAAATTTGCTTCAGCTTTGAGCTCCTTGATAGCGAAAAGTCTTTGCCGCAACGCAATCTGGTAGTCATGAATAACATGTATCGGGTTTCTGAAGGAGAACTTACAGGCTGGAGATGTTTCGTGTGTATCTCGTATTGGCAAACCTCGCCAAATGCGCCCGAACCAGCAACGCGCAGTTTGGAAACGACTGGGAGAATTCGAGCTTCTTCGAAATCATGGTTATACTTCCCAGTATCGAATATTGGCGCAAAGAACTTCCACTGCTCGTCGTAGAAGTGTGTCCGCCAAGATGACCGCCGGAACTCTTCGCTTTGCACAGTGAATGGAAGATCGTCATCAGTCATTCCTGTTCTCTTGAACCAATTCATAGCAACATGAGTGTTCAGCCTGGCAAAGGTGGCAATGGCGAAAGCTTTCCTTGCGAATGCGAAAGTGTAGTCAATCAATTCAAGTTGTTCTCTGGAGGCTCGCAAGCATTGCGCGATCGACTTCCGGGTAATCAACTCCTCGACAATCCCTTCGGGGATGAAGCTATGGGGCGTTTTATCAAACTCACTCTTGATCAATCTGGACTGCAAAGTCTGCTTGAGCGTCTTCGCGGATACGCCTTTGGCAGTATCGTAATATTGTGATTCATCATCGGAGTCCTGTTGAATGCCCCCAGCATCGAGGTATTGCGCCTCGTCAGAAAAAAGGTCATCGAATAGATCTCCCATCATTTGCGCTCAGTTGCGAAAAAGAAGACACTTGGAAAGTGGAAGGTTCTCGAATGCTTGAAGAAGGAACAGGCTTCACAAAAAGGTAACGGGAACATAACCGCTGCTCGTTCTCAAACTTATACCCAGTGCTTGCTCGGAATTCAGTCGCGCCAGAGACCGGCCGCAAGCCACTGAACGTCATGCGTAAGAGAAGGCAACAAGGCTGAAGGGCGCTAGCGATGCGTGACTCCTGGCCTGATGTGTAGCTTCACCATTGTCCAGATCTTTCGATACAGCCATGCATAGATTCGCTGACCACCTACAGCAGGGTTGCTCTCAGCTCTCAGCTCTCAGCTCTCAGCCTCGCTTGCATGGTGTATGTTGTATCTGTCCAGGGTTGGAGGACTCAGGCATAGCGCTTCGCCACAACATGAACCAGAGCTTGAAATCTGCATGGATTCTGCGTATCACTGCTGCGAAATGATAGACGGTTTGAGAGGACGTGAATACAAAAACCTGGATCGAAGGAACACTTGGGAAGTTGTCCCGCGGCGGCCCGCGCCCGGACCCACGCCAACACGCGCTAAAATGTTGATCACCTTCCAACTTTTGCGACGCTCCACTCTTGTCCCTTCCGCCGTGCGTGTGATTGGACACCTCACCCCAGGTACCGCGACGATCTTGGAGAACTCCTCGGCCGAACCACTTTACTCCCTAGGTCGTTCAGATCATCCTGCACGTCACAAGTCAACATTCTGCCTGCAATAAAGATTTTTGTTGTGACAGCGCCTTACTTGCGAAAGACATCCGGACGCGCGTATGCTATAAACATTGTGAACCATCTAGACACGTGCTGTCAGCAAAGACTAGCTACGACATGGGGGCCGTACATAGACTTCGAAATCGTCCCCAAAGCGATCCTGTAGTTTCGTCACCAGCTTCTCCGGATCAACATTCACGACGCATATGTCCTGCTGCACTTTGCGGCCGTTGGACCATGATCGAAGCGACCTAAATGTCTTTGTCGGAGAGGCATCTGCTGATGGCTGAGGAGCGCTTCGTCTGCTTTTGAAGAGATTGGCTACGAAAGGCATGGTGAGGATGACCAGCTGGATCGGGGACGAGTGACACGAATCCGCAAGAATGGACCCCTCGCTAGGATTTTAAATCTTCCAGTCATCGAGGTCATATCCTATGTGGTAGCGGGAAAAGGCACATGTTCAAACACCGTACGCACGAGCGCTACCCACGCCACTAACGCCACGCGCATGGGCCCCCAATAACGTTGAGTTCCGTCACACCACCCTGGCTATCACCTCAGGCTTTTTGGGGGCTGGAGCGCATATTCGGCCCCATCATCATGAGGGCGCAGCCCGTCCGAGAGAGAGAACAGGGCAAACGTTTGCCTCGACGGCTGTGTGACTTAAGGATCCTCGTCGCAATAACTTTGCCCTGATTATGAGGGTGACAACAGGCGAATCACCACGTTTGGCAGAGCTTTGACCATTGACACACTCCCCATAGCCTTGCAACTGAGGCTGGCACACTTGTGCCTGGGGTCTTCGAGGCCCCAACCTATCATTGGCCCGGTCTGGATGGAGGACTCTGCCATACAGCTATATGAAACCGCCCGCGCCTTGTCCATAGCTGCCTTTCAGCCTGAGATCTGCCCGTTAAGCTACTTTGTGGCCCTTTATAAGAAGACAAGGAGAGATGGCTCAGATTGCTCTTCCAAGACCGGAAATACCCACGCGAGCATCCACTCACCGGACGCTGTTGACGCGGAGTACGGTTCAACTGCCCAGTAGGACCAACGAGAGAGCTTTCTCACAGAACAGCTCACTCGGATGGTCTCACCAGCCGAGTAAGCAGTAGCGGAGTCCTTGTCTACGTCTGCAATGTCGAAGCCACCTCGGTGCTGACCCGACGGAACAGGTTCACAAGAAAGAGCTCGACCGTTCAGTGACACCTTTCCTTACGATCACTATGTCCCGGAAGAAAGCAATGTGCCTGAGGCCCGGAAGGCAAGATCGAGTGGCCCTACAACCTACGCACCTTCTGCGCAGCAGGTCGCGCGGAGTCCTCTGCCCGAGAAGATTATCGAAATCACGCATGGTGACGAAACTACTCAGAATCGTGGAGGTATGATTCGACGCTATGCTACAAGTGCAGCTTCCACCCCAGCGTCAAAGGCACTGGCTTGGAAAGTGAGGACGCTTGCACATCAGCATCGCTCTGTCGATTGGCACGTTCCTTTCCTTCCAAGCGCAGATCTTGAGCGATTGATCGCAGGGAACGCGGTACTCTCAGCATTGTCTGCAGCTAAGAGGGAAAAACCTATCATTGGAAGCCCTGTCAATTACCGGCGTATCCTAGCTGTCTTGCATCTCATGAAACGTCCGTCAAAGATCCATGTTTTTTTAACAAGAGGCGTCTGCGACGCGGATCTGCCCTTGGAACCATTGGATGACGGAAGCACTATCGTAAGGACACTCAGTCTTCGTAGCAAGAATAACAAAAAGGCTCCGACCATAACGTTCAACAGAAGCGAGGATGCTCAGGGGTTCTGTGAACAGCAGTGGAGTGTCATTGCACACAAATTCACCAAGCTCGATAGGTTCTATGTCAGATTGGAGAAGGAAATCGTCCTTCCGTACATGGAGTATCGCCGGACTGAGAGAGGCGGAGGCGAAGGCGAGATCTACTTGACCAGGATTCATCCTGACTATCACCCTTGGCATCGGGAGACAGCAGAGGTTTGTCACTTCACCTCTGAAGAAATGGTGGAAATTCTGATTGATTACAGTGTAAACGGAACAGGAAGACATGTTTAAAGAAGTGCAACGTCTTCGCCGTGAAGATTTTGAGTAGGTATGACACAGCGGCCTTTACAAAAGAAGTGAGCACCTTCGAAAAGCTCCAAAGAGAGACTCACACGCACGAGCATCTTGTCAACCTCCTTGCAGCGTATGAGCAAAATAAGCGCTACCATTTTGTCTTCCCGTGGGCCGACGTGGACTTGCTGAGATATTGGCAGCAAGACGCAAAACCAGATCCGAGCTCCGAGAGAGCTTCATGGCTAGCAACGCAATGCCACGGCCTGGCGCAAGCTTTGGACCGGATACACCACTACAAGACCTTCTCCGGTCGTCTGCTACAATTTGGCTTCGATCAAACAGGTCATGCTGTATCGACAAACGCCTTAGAACCGTCTAACCGTTCCAAACAAAACCGACGCTATTATGGCCGGCATGGCGATCTAAAGCCAGAGAATATATTATGGTTTCCCGATTCCAGGTTCCCAGGGTCTTATGGCATACTTCGCATTACGGACTTCGGTTCTGCTCAATTCGCTACGGAAGAGTCGAAACGCGGGCGAGTGCCCAATTCGCCAAGTTATCATTCCCCTGAGTATGCCTTGACCCAAGACTACAGCATAGCGTGCGATATCTGGGCTCTTGGCTGCATCTACCTTGAGTTTATTACCTGGTATTTTGGTGGCTGGACCGCCGTACATCATTTCTCCCTTCAGCGTCGTGAGACTGACCACACTCTGGCAAACATACGATCTGATAAGTTCTTCAGCATTAAAGACGATGGTGCTGTGCGAGCAGCAAGCGTGAAGCACGAGGTTACAGACGTAAGTGACGACGAGTCCTGTGAGATAGGGTGCTGATGATTTCTACAGAAGATCGATGCACTATGGGTTGGCCTACGCCAAGTTCGCGACAAGTATACCCAAGAGATGTTTGAGAAACTACTTAACATGGTCAAAACCGAGATGCTGATCGTAAGTCCACTGACAGCACCTGCGCACGGACGCAAGAGCGCCGGTAACATATTCCGGGAACTCTCAAAGTACTGCCCGCCGGAGCCAGACCCATCTCGATGCTCTACCTTTGAACCTCAGCAGAAGCCTGCCTCCCAGCAGAACATAGTTACAAGGCTCAAGCGGAGATCAATAATCCGCAACTAATTATGATACCAAGTAGTTCTAGGCCTAGAACTACTTAGCAGTTCCGTGTGCAATAGCGACAACTTCGGTTCGCTGTCTATTGCAAAACCATATCCTATTATTATTATATTACTTCACAAGTAACGTAATCCACCATCAAATGAGATGACCCATCGAGTGAGACAAAAAGGCTTGGCGTACCTAACTCAACAACTTTAAACCTTGACATTATTGCTGTTAAAGAGTTCTCTAGCGTGCTGCGTGCTTGCATTAGATTTAGAAGATGTTTCTGCATCCTTTTTGCATGTTCGCGCATTGTGTCTAGTCCTACCGCAGTTCCCACAGCGCTAGACAGCTGCTTAAGGTCTTTTGTTGCGGTGTCAAGGGCAAATGTATATAACGAGTGTATTGTGTTACCGTGCACGGACACCGGGTGGGCCGGGTCACCAGGTGGGCCACCCCACCAACTTTGTCACCACATTTGACCCCCCCTCCACAACGTCACCACGATGTCGTTGCAGGCTGCTCTTTTATACATAGACTCTTTAAAACTAGGAGAATCTTTTTTATATAGACAGTTAGCTAAGAAATACTATATTTCCTGCACTACTTTAACTAACTACTACTAACGTTAGAGAAGGACTAATAAAGATGCCTACAAAGATTAATATTTCCTCCACCCACACAATAAGGCTAAGCTTATAAAATACATTAAAAGCTTCACAGAGACTTACTGCCCACCTACGTAGTAGATAATAATTAATTTCGCGACCCCCTTGTGCAGTTAGGAGCCCTTAGATTAGTAGGTTTCTAGGCTTATTCACTGTCACCCTAATAACCTTACTACTGCCTAGACTACCCCTATAGAAAGCACGCGTTATGCAGCTAATAACTGTGAAAGATATTATCTATACTTTAATCTTTTAACTAAAAAAGTTAAGGAATTTAACATTCTCCCTAAGAACACCTACAATATAGACAAGAAGGGATTTATAATTAGGGTTATTAGAAAGACTAAAAGAGTCTTTGATAAGGCTCTCCACAAGGAGCGTTGATATAAGCAAGCATCTCACGATGGCAACAGGGAGTGGGTGACGGTTATAGGCGCGATTTGTGCTGACGGATCTCACCTCCCCCCTGCCGTAATCTATCCCGCGGCCAGTGAGAAAGTACAGGCTAACTGGGTTCACGATATCAATCCAGATACTCACGATCTACGATTCTCAGTATCCCCAAGTGGCTGGACAAACGACGATCTTGGTGTTGCCTAGCTGCAGCAGGTGTTTAATCCTGTTACCTCAAAAAAAGCTCAGAGAAAGTTCAGATTACTCATTCTTGACGGCCACGGCAGCCACGTGACGAAGGCCTTCATCGATTACTGTGATCTCCATCGAATTCTGGTGCTGGTTTACCCCCCGCACGCCACCCATACGCTGCAACCCCTAGATGTCTCATGCTTTAAGCCCCTGAGCCAATCTTACTCAAATAAGCTCATATATCATAACCATAACACTAAGGGATAGCTCCCTACAGGTAAGGCAGACTTTATAAGCCTCTTCTAGCCTGCCTAGGTCAACACCTTTACTAAATTGTTAATACTCTAAGCCTTTAAAGTCACAGGTATATACCTACTTTACCTAGACGTTATACTTAATTGCTTTAAGAAGGTAACTCTACTACTACCCACAACGCCTCCCTAGCAATCAGAGCCTTAGGTGGCATCTACCTCACCTAATTAGCGACGTTTTAGGTCATCTTTTGACCGTGCAGTGACGTATGGGGACCCAGGGGCGCAGAGTGAGGCAAGGCAGCAGATGCACCAGATGCACGTGGCTCTTGAGCTCAAAGATCAGGAACTTCAGGGCCTTAAAACAGCACTGGAGAGTAAGAAGAAGCGTTAAAAGAAGAATAAAGTATTGCCACTGTCACTGCGGGACCCTAATGTACAAGGGGGGGCCATATTCTGGGATCCTTCATCCGTTGCACGTGCCAAGACCCGTATGAAGGATATAGAGAAGCAGGCAATCGCAGAT